CTAAGACAATCAGATTTTATGGTGACAGTTGCTCAGAAAAAGGCAACGACAAAGATTACCAATCGCAGAGTCACCTTTGAGTGGTTGAGTTTTTAGGCTAGGAAATGAACTTGACTAATAAAAACAATACAGATACAAACCCACTCACAACGAGATGGTTATGAAGATAGTCGTCCCAGGGCATTTATATTTCTTTGGTGGCTATCTGATTCTAACAGTTGTGATAAAGTACACAAGACTTCCAGTACTTGTGCTGGAAGAGACGTAAGATGGATCCCTAACCACTTACCTAAGAGACTTTTAAATGAAAAATTCCTTCCTTTGCTCCTCATGGTCTCACAGCTCCCAGAAGCAAAACTCCTCTCAGAGCCCTGCGTCCTGTCTGCCACCTCCAGGGCCAAGTTCTGAAGTCAAGACATAATGCTTGAGTCCCCAGGCTTAGAAAACAGCTCTGAACTCTTAGCTCTTATCCTTCCTGAGAATCAACAGGACTCTCAGGAGGAGCCTGCACTCCTCTCCCAGTTCCAGGTACCGCTCTGCCCTGATAATCCAACACGGGAGGATGCAGCTTTGCGTGTCCGTCCTCTCTGGGTCTCCACCTTCCCTGACCTCACCTTTCTTCTGCTGCTTTTGGTTCACTGAAATCCTTTGTCTTATATTTCCAATTTCCCATGTTCATTGGATCCTTCTAAGTAGGCTTGCAAATACGGGTAAGTTTCTCTTTAATAAAAACTTACTTTGGTTCTGTTCTCCTTAAGGGTAATCATTTCTTTGCTTCACCTTAACTTTTTTTTTTTTTGATAGCTCATTGTGAGAGAACCACAAGCCTCATGGTAATACATGGATTAGTGTAAATGGGTTAATTCAAGACGTAAGAGTTAGCTAGAAATATGCATGAGCTAATTGGCCAAGCAGTCTTGCAATTAGTATGGTTTCAGTGTGATTATTTCAGGTTTGGGAGGCCAGGAAATGAACAGGCAGCTTCATCTACAGCTGTTCTGGAATTCACTCTGTAGATGAGGCTGGCCTTGAACTCACAGAGATCTCTTTGCCTCTGCTTCCTGAGTGCCGGGATTAAAGATGTGGGCCATCACTGTCAGGCTTTAATTCTCTAGTAATGGACAAGAGATGGGGAATAGAAGCATCTGGCTTCTTGACTTCTGGGTGTGTTCCATAGTCTGTGGATCTTCTGGCATAGATTTCCCTGTTTTGTCTCCAACTTAGCTTTTCTGACTTACTTCATTTCTTCCTTCTCTCAGGTTTTCTTTATGTTGTTTCTGATTCATGATACAGGCGCCTGTCTTAAAAAGTGTGATTGGAAAAGCAGAAACCAAAAGAGAGGCATTTTTCCCATAGAAGATAGATTCCTTGAAGGAGTGGAACCAGAGACTGTATTGTAGCCAGAAAGAAGAGTATAACTTCTTAGAAAGTGCTCTGAGCTTGGAAACTAGCGACATAATGTTTTGTTTCTATCAAAACTGACTTGTAAGTTCAGAGCGTTGGTGAAGGCGTTTTTCGTCTAAACTGCATTCTTCCCTCTTAAGAAGTTCTCTTTCAGAACCAAATTAAGGCTTCTTAGAAAACAGCTTTCTTCCCTCCCCCCTTTTTCTTTATTTGGAGGCAGTTCTCCTTCTTAGGTTTGAAGAAGAGTTTTTAAATCCTGGAATTGGAAAGCATCTTAAGTGTTACAGTTTTTCAATCTCTGGGATAAAGTAGATGCTTTGATTTTCTTCATTATCACTATCTCCTCTGCATAAAAGCATCGGCAGTTTCTTGGACATACAATGGCTCAGAACAATGAGGAAGCTGACTCACAATCTGGTTTTATTGCTCAGCACAAAGCTGCAAACTTAAATGTTGATAAGCGTTAGCCAAGATCGAGGCAAATAAGGAGACCAAGAGTTGGGGTCATAGGGAATATCAGAGCCGTGGAAACAGGTGAATCCATGCTCTACAAATATGGGCTTGCCACCCCCATCAAACATCAGCTGTATCCAGTAAAGTACAGCTACGTGTGGCAAACAGCCATTTGTGTTACCAGGAAGTACAGGTTGGGTAACTCATACATTTACAGTAAATGTGGCTATTTCCTCAAGCATGTGAAAGTGTAGTCCTTACAGGGCTTCCTGCCTAGAAACCTCAGTACTTACTCTTCCATTTGTCTTTAGAAGCATACTCAGAATTATTTATTCTCACAATTTTCCATCTTATGACTAACCCTTCCTGAAAATCTTTTCATTTGGATTGTCCTCCCAACTACAGAAGTACTTGTTTTTGAATGTTTCAGATTTTCTGGAGTTTAATTCTACACCAACAAAGAACTTTACCCATAAATCCAACTTGAATCAGCATGGGCTCTGTCCTCACATTCCCCAGCCCTGCCCCCAAGACAGGGTTTCTCTGTGTAACAGCCACGGCTAGCTTGGAACTTGCTTTGTAGACCAGGCTGCCCTTGAAGTCATGGAGATCCGCCTGCCTCTGCCTCCTGGGTGCTGGGATTGAAAGTGTGTGCCACTATCTCCTGTTTGTCCTAACATTTTGTGGTTGGTGGAAAAGATCAATTGATCATTGTTCCCTTTGTGACATTCTTTTTTCTAAGATTTATTTATTTATTATATATAGTGTTATGTCTGCATATATGCCTACTCACCAGAAGAGGGCACCAGACCTCATTACAGATGGTTGTGAGTTACCATGTGGTTGCTGGGAACTCAGGACCTCTGGAAGAGCAGCCAGAAGCCAGTGCTCTTAACCTCTGAGCCATCTCTCCAGCCCGACATTCTTTATATAAGTAAAAAATAGCCAGTGCCCCAAACCTGTACAAGTCTGCAGTTATTTTTCTATCATCTATCCATATCTATCTCTTCACCTACCTATCATCTGTCTAACCTATATCTATCTTATCTATCTAATCTATTATTCATCTATCTAATCTATTTTATCGGTCTAATCTATCATCTATCTATGTATCTATCTAATCTATCATTTATCAATCTATCTAATCTATCATTTATTTATCAATCTATCTAATCTATCATCTATTATCTACTATCTATCTATCTATCTATCTATCTATCTATCTAATCTATGTGTATGCACACACACTCACACATATGCATGCCGTGGCCCGTGTGAAGAGGTCAGAGGATCCTTACAGGATTGTTTATCTCCCTCAACTAATTGGGTTCTGAGTATTGAACTCAGGTTGTCTGGATTGCAGCAAGTGCCTTTCCTGATGACCTATCACACCATGCAGGTCCACGTCTGCAGACTCTTATCATGGGCTGTTTCCCGGTGCTCTGATAATTGTAATTGCTTTCTTCTGAACTCTCTCCAATCTGTACACTAAAAGAAATAATATTCTGAACTCTACCCAGTCCTTTTCTGGGCTGATTGAGCTGGTTAGATAATACTACCATCTTATTGCTTTTTTCAGAGATTCCACATATTCAAGGTACAGTCTGTGACCTTAATATTTTTTTCCAGCAATGGTAGTGTTGTAGCTAGGATTTCTTCATATCTTATCCACACAATTCATTTTGCATTTCTAAGTTTGCCACTCTTTACTCGCAGCTAATAAGACTCTATCTTGGTTTCGGTGGGCTGTTCCTAACTGGCTTGTCAAGTTACTTGGAACATTATTGTATTTCAGAAAAACTAGAAAACTTCACCTATTTTATAGCCACAAGATGATTGATTTAGAACCTTCCTTCCTTCCTTCCTTCCTTCCTTCCTTCCCTCCCTCCCTCTTTTTGTGATGTAGTGTATCATGTAGCTGAATATTTTCAATTTCACTGTAAAGTTATTGAAAAACAATAAAACAGCAAACCTCAACTGTTTTGAGCCAAGACGTCTGGATGATGGTACGTGTGCTCATGCATGTGATGTACATTCATGTTCATGTGTGTGGTGCACATGTGTGCTGACACATGTGCCGATGTGTGCTGGTGCACGTGGAAGTGAGAGGTTGATGCCAGGTGTCTTCCTTGATTTGATCCCTGTCCACTTTGTTGACTGAGTTGGGGGCCTGCAACTGAAGCCAGAAATCACTATTTGTCTCATCCATCTCGCCAGCTTGCACGGGGTCTCCCTCTTTGCTTCCTGGGTCTTGGGAGCAGTGAGACCCCAGATCCTGAATTTCTTGTAATCCTCTGATCTGAGTGCCTACAGCTGCTCTGAGCACGAGACCTTCAGGAGTTCCTGACGGCAGGAGAGTGGTTTCTGGTGGGTTTGGCTAGGGCATGGCTATCCCTATATAATCTGCCCCTGAACACAATAAAGGGGGCATTCTTGGGGAATTCAAGGATGACCCATGTCGCTGTCTCTCTGTGTGTGTCTGTGTATTTTAACCTCCAGGCCCCTTGCTCAAAGCTCGCAAACTGGGTGCCAGCGCACAGAGCGCAGACACGGGGGTGTGGTACACGGCCCTGGGCGCTGGGATAGGCAGGACCAAAGCACCCACCAAGCTCTTATGTAGGCTTGGGATGTGAGCTCAGTCTTCACATTTGCACAGCAAAGACTTCATGCACTTCCAGCTCCTGCAGCTCACCCAAGGTTTATTAAGCCTGTGTGTGTGTGTGTGTGTGTGTGTGTGTGTGTGTGTGTGTAATGACTATTGATTCACAGTTTTCCTGTTACTAGGCGTTTCTTAAAATTCTGTGAAAGTTGGTAGCACAGTTTCTTGTTTAGTTGTAGAAACTAAACTTGAGTGATTTGGTACAAAAACTCGTGGGTGGTGGTTGCTTCTAGCGGAGAGAAGACATTACACATGTTTAATACATGTCTATAGTTCAGCAACACCATAGTTTACATTTTTTAGTAAGAGGGTGAGAGAATAGGAGAAACTTAAGATCAAATATAAAGGATATGTTGTGACTATCATACAGCTCCTGCTTGTACAGGACTTTGAGGCTGTCTACCCTTTTATTTAAACTCAGTAGTCGGTGTCCTGTTTAATATGTGAGCATAAGATGCATGTTTTTCTGTTATTGTCATTACAGGTTTTGGGAAGTGACCATGAAGACTGAAGAAGTTACATTTTTCACATGATAATTGAAGTTAATGACTACTTACAATATTTTCATGAAAATTAAGTATGACTTAGAAGTGTCAAAGGTTTATGATGTCATCAGTTTCGACAGAAAGCAAACTTCAGCAGGCTGTCAGCCTGAAGGGAGTTGACCCAGAAACATGCATGATCGTGTTTAAGAACCACTGGGCACAGGTAATAAATGACCTCCATCTCCTCTGCTGGTCTCCTCTGCTGAGCCTCCCCCCCACCCCCAGTTTCTGCCACACTGAGCCAAGATTTCCTACTTGGTGACAGTCAGCTGACTTTCTAGAAAATGCTTTGAAGGACAGGCTCTTTCAGTCAAGAGAAAAGCAGATTTTCCTTCCTGATTTCCCATAGTATGTATCAGATTAAAACATTGTTTCCACAAATGGCTGGCTTTTGAAGCATTTACTAAGTACTGTGTTGAGAACTTCAAATATTCTGTAATTAATATAATTTATATTAAATCTATCATTTAATCTTCTCCAGAAACTAATAAAGCAGTTAGTAGAGAATGGAGAATTATGCAGGTTAAATGGCTGTCTGGAGGTTCTGCTGTCAGTGAATTACCAAGCCAGACCTTGGTACTCAGATCTCAGTGCCTTGAATGCAAAACCCACGGGTCTGACTGTCAGACCCCATACGATGTAGGGGGATCTGTCTGGCTATGTCTGAGTCCTCATCTTCTCTACTGAGCACATTAGTGTTTATGGATAATTCATTTTGACTTCTTGGGGCTTTCCTCTGATCTGCTGGTGTGGATAATTAAGGGTTGAATGCTTAGAAAATTTACCAGTCTGCCCCTTTCCTCGGGGAGCTTGCAGGTAGTAAAATAAAAAAAAAAAAATGGTATTCTTTACTACTTGTCCAGCGTTATACTCCCCAGGTGAGCTGGTAAGTGGCTATTTATGTGACGGTTTTTTAATGACTACCAGGTTCCTTCCTGTGTCTGGAAAGAACACATGGGTTAAAGCCCGGAGCCTGTAAATCACAGCAATTATGGAGGACACAGTTTAGATCAAAAGGGGCAAAATCAATTCTGCTTCTGGATTGTTCACACCTTGTAGTTGCTTTTCACCTTCTAGTGTAAAGCTTCTATGATTTTCTTCTGCTTTCCCATTACTCTGAGTTATTGTTCAGATTTAATGGATTTACTGTGGGCATTGAGGACACCTCTACTATAGTGAAGGAAAGAAATTTGGAGCTATTCTTGATAATTAGATAACTGCCTTTGGTTTTACACGCTTTAAAGCATTTTAAAGCAATGGCTTCAGAGTCAGCTAGTGGACTCTTGAGAGTTGTGACCAGCAGTCCTCAGAAGGCCTGCTTCTATCTTTACCTGTTTGGACCATATATCATTTTGTGCTTATCCCATGTACAATGTATCTATGTATTACCACATGCTTTTCTATTTTATTTACTTAATTATTTATGTCCATTCTCTTGAGTGGATTACCACACGGATGGCATTTCCAGCTTACCATTCATTTGGCCGATGGAGTTTCCCTTTGAAATATGGAATCTCTGCTCTGAGGCCCACTGTGTGTGTGTACTACGTTTGATCACGAGCATTCCTTCTGGTTCCTGTAATGGGATCCATTTGGCTTTCTGAGCTGCTCTGAGAATCACAGATACACCACTGACCTCGTGACTCTGTGTCGGTAGATCATCTATCCTGCTCAATCTGGTTTCTTTCTCCGAAGAGCAGCCGGACTGCTGCTAGAATGTCCTGTGTGAGGAATGTGTCCATCTTCTTTTCACGTTGTTGAGAATAAATATTAGCCCCAGAATCCTATTAGTTCCATGTCTGCTATGAATGACTTCAGCATTATCAGATACTGGGGGTTATCGGAGGCACCATGCAGGTGCTTAGCACCCTCCTCTTGAAATATATTGAGGTGAAGATGAGACTATCTTGTCAGAGGAAATGATGTTAGTCATTAAACAATTCCCTTTATAAAGTGAGCATGTCTTATGATTGTTCAGCCATTTCCTTAACTTTAGTTGGGTTTCTTTTTAAGAATGAAATAAAAGACCTTTTTTATTAATCTCTTTAGACTTAGCTTTTCCTTCTAAATACATCTAGAAAATGCCCTTAGTCTCTATCTGCAGAGACTCTGTGGGCCTTCCTATCAACTGTAAGAATGATAATATTGGTTGAGAAATAGATGCACGTGCGTATCTAAGTAGCTATTTTCCCTTAGAGGTTGAGTTAGGGAACAGTTCTAGGGCATCCCTAGAGCATCCTCGGGGGGACAGCTACAGGAATTAAGTCAAGAAAAGGGAGTGTTATGAGTGTGAGTGGTGAAGAAAGTTGTAGTTTGGACAGTTTGGCTGTGGAAAAGTTTTTATGTCAGAGGAAGGGAACATTTTAAGAGGGATATTGGTGATAAATGCTCAGTTTTGACCTTTATGTTGGTGAGAAAGAAGGTGGGGGAGGCAAAAACTAAGGGCAAGGCAGAGATGTCAGCTGCGAATCCCTCAGCTGTCAGGACTGGGTTGTGCATCCGTCTCTGGACTTGGCTCTTCACCGTGACTTCTGCTGGGGTGGCTAACGGCACACTCAGGGGAAACAGTCTCATCTGTGACATGTGTACCTCTGTGCCTACTGTGACTACAGCCACCAACTCCCCCGAGGCAACCAAGGCAACCTGAGAGGTCTCTAGCAAATGTGGCAGTCAGGACTGAACGACCACATGGTATTGAAAGGAGTGTGCCATTCACAGCTCAGTACAATACTTTTGTATACCATAAATTAGGAAAAATGAAGGCAGTGAAAGTCTGTGCTATCTAGAATTTGTCTTTGTTAGGCTACTTCAGTATAAATTCAACATCACTGACATGCATTTGACAGCCTCTGGTATACTATTTATGAGTCACTTCTATGCCAGAACTTGAGTTACAGAGCTAACATGGATGGAGAGAGAAGGGTTGCTGCTTTCTATCTTGTCCTCTACTGTCCAGGGCAGCTAGCTCTATAACTAACTTGGGTCATATATAAGGCAGTCCATCATTCCATGGGTGAGACCTTAAGTGACCTGGTAGTACACTTGAATTTCCAACCCCCTCCCCCCGTCCATGATGTCATGATAGAAGGGTGCTCTGTAGATACCCAGGAGTAAACTTCCTAATAGTGACTTTGGAGAATGTAGGTTTAGGAAGCTGGCCTGGTCCATGCTTCCTCTCACCTTCTTGAATGGTCATCTTGTATCTTAAATCACCAGAATAATAGACCTAAGATCCAGATTTATCTGTTATAGATGTATCTAGTTGGACGTCCCAATGGCATAAGCCCACCCACAGGCCAGGAGGGCACAGACAGTTCCTTAGAACCTAGCTTCCGAGACTGCTTTGCATGCGTGTCCACCATCATCCCTAGCAATTGTCCAGTCGTTCCATGCCTCTGTGTGTGAAGTGCTTGCTGCTCCTTCTGCTTGAGTGCTCCTCCGTCTGGTGAAATGCTGCTCCTACAGGACACATTAGGGATGTCATTTCCTGCAGACACTCTCTCTTCTCTCTCACCTTTTCTCTCTGTGCTCACCACTGCCACACGCTCTCTTCTGTTCCATCAGACTCCTTATCTTACAACGGTATATGTAGCTTCCCTCCAACATCATCGAGAAGCTCCTGAATATCAGAGGCTTTCAGCGATGTATTTGTGTTTCTGGTGCCCATAACAGAGTATGGCATAATGTAATATGACATCAGTCAACAAACTGCTGAACAGCAAGGAGGAACACTTGAAGACCCAGGCAATTTGGGAAGCCACTTTAAAATGCACTAACTTTATTTTTTTAATATTTATTTATTTATTTATTATGTATACCAATATTCTGTCTGTGTGTAAGCCTGTAGGCCAGAAGAGGGCACCAGACCCCATTACAGATGGTTGTGAGCCACCATGGTGGTTGCTGGGAATTGAATTCAGGACCTTTGGAAGAGCAGGCAATGCTCTTGACCTCTGAGCCATCTCTCCAGCCCCAAATGCACTAACTTTAAACCACTGTATAATATGCTTCCAAGAAGGTCTTTGAACTTGCCTTTAGGGGTAAGGATGAATATATACCTGCGATAGATTTCTATAGTCATTTTGTTTTTGTTTATAATTTGGCAGGTTATTGCTTTTTATCTCCTCACTGCCTTCGCATTTTCAGAGCGGAAGAGGGTTCAAATGGAAGGGATCCATGGCTTATCGGACAATAAATTGTTCAAGTAGACTGGCTGGTGAATTATACCACCTACCTATTGGTTACTTTCCTTGACATGCTTATACTTTGTGACTACGTGGACCTTGTAATAGTCACTGTGTCCTTACTTCTTTTAGGCAGGAGAACAGAGAATTGGAAGAAGTTAGGCAAGGAGGTTTATGTCTATATGTCTGTATTTCTAGTACTTTTGGCCTCAAAAGCAGGAAGATCAAGAGTTCAGAGTCAGACTAGGCTATTTAGTGAGTTCCAGGCTAGATTGGTCTACATAGCAAGGCCCTGTCTCAAAAAATAAACAACAAAACAAAAAAAAAAAATTTATATCCATCTAAAAAATAACGTAGGTCTCCTTTTTACCAAAAATTTTATATTCCAAAAAAGCTGTTTTTCGAGATTATTTTGTTTATTTCATAGCATTTATTTATACTTTGTGACTATATGGACCTTTCTCTATTTATTTTTTAAAAATTAGAGAAAAGCAGCCGGGCAGTGGTGGCACGAATCCCAGCATTTGGGAAACAGACACAGGCGGATCTCTGTGAGTTCAAGGCCAGCCTAGTCTATAAGATCTAGTATAGGACATCTAGAGCTGTTACGCAGAGAAACCCTGTCTCAACAAAAACAAAACCAAATAAAACAAACAAACAAAAAAAGAAAGAACAGTGGCTTTTCTGTCTCAGGATGGCATGGCAGTGAGAAATGGAGGCCTGTAGATTGTTTGTGTTAAACACCTATCCGCAGCAGTGAAAACTAGAGGCTGGGTCTTAGGGCGAGTACAGTGTAGCACTCTGATACCCCGAATCCGTTAAGAGAATATAGGACACGATGCATGGATCTGGCATGCGTATTTGCATTTTTATTTCCTTGCTCTGTTTAGCTTGCTTTTGGTTTGCGTCTTGTTGCAGACTAAATGACAGAGAACACGGAACGCCTTGGGGATGTGGAAAGCTTCGAAAGCTTTGATTA